CCTGCGCAGCACCGCCCCACGCCGCCCGACGCTGTCCCCGCGCACGCGTTCCGTTCCCGCGCACGCGTTCCGGCCCCGCGCCGGCGCTGCTGGACCCTCTGGCGTGCCGTCCTTTCCCGGCCTGCCCCGCGCAACCGAACCCGGAAGTAGGGTTCGCCTACTCGGTAGAGGTGCGTCTGTGCCCGAGCCTAAACGAGAATCCTTTCTGGGCCATTATACTCTATTTCATTCATCTGGTTTCTTCATGAACTAACGTGTTACAGTATTTTAATTGAAACTTTCTATTTTTCATATCTGGTATGGCAAGTTCTCCAAATCATTCTTTTTTAAAAAAAAAATCGTAGTTATTCTTATCAGTTCATTCATCCAGATGACATTTAGAATTTTGACACATTTCCCCCAGATCATGTGGAATTTTGGCTGCAATTGTTCCCACCAAGGATCAGGGTGTGGCTGCACTTTTCTTCACATAGATTCTGCTCAATTGTTATTCCTAAGCAATTTATTGTGACTATTGAGAGTGGATTTCCTCAGCCTCCATGCCCTGGCTACTACCAATTATTGTTAGAATAACAAAGCAAGTGATTTTTTTTTTTCTTTTTCCTACTACCAATTCTGAGACTTCCTTAAACGCTTATTTTGGGGTCTCTAGATGGGCCATCACACATACCAATAATGGTACTTTGGTGTCTTCTTTCTGAGACTTCGGTGGCCTTCTTGCTGCTGTTCCCGCGTCACTGCTTCCCTGAGGCCTGCAGAGAGTGTTCAATGGGCCCGTGATGAAAGCCTACCTGCTTTAGGCTTATTTTTTCCCTTGAGAATGAATGCTTCCAGCACTCATGTCTATATTCCACTGATAGTCTGAAGCACCTTTTAAAATGTCGTGCTCAGAAAGTCTCTCCCAGAAACGACAAATGGGAGAAGTAAAACTAGATACTAATTTTAAAGTGTGTGTGTGTGGTGGTGGTGGTGTGTGTGTGGGGGTGCCTCTGGGTGCAGTGGGGGCGCCTGCTGCTCTCACACACCCTCCTGTACAACTGGATCTGGACTCTGCACGATTTATGGATTACTCTGCTTCTGCTTTAAAATCAAGCAATGGCAAGGGGAGGGGAAGGACACAAACATTTCTCTTTCCAGTTTTCAAATAACTTAAAGTTCGAGAGGGGATGCCAACATTTATGACTGCCTTTCCCAGCGAGTGTGAGGCCGGCCAGGCGGCTGCTCAGCCATGTCGCCGGGCAGGCTTGCGTTTCCGGAACCAAAGCTCGCAGACCCTGGGCTCCGGCTACCGTGGACCTGGTGGGGTCTGAGGTCCAACATCTTGCTGTGAGTCGGGTCAGCAAGAAGTGGGAGGGGGCGGGAGGAGCGGGGAGGGTCGGGTCCTGTGACCACCCGGAATGGCCCCTCCTGGAACTTTTCACCCCAACCCCCCAGGGCAGAGCATGGCTTTCCCAGTTTCTTCCCAGTAATTCAGTCCCATCTGCTCGCTTTTGTAAAACCTAAAACACGTGCCACGCCCGCACCCCGCGGCGAGGTGGATGTTCCCTGCTGGGCCCTACAAGCCCATTGTGAAGCTGGGGGGCAGGGCTGCGGGAGCCGGGGGCGGGGCTGTGGGAG